CTAACATTCCAGTGAGCATATCCATACCTAGAGTATTGATTAGAACAGACATCGTAGATTTGGGGCGAGTTTTGAGCACCTCTGTGATTCTCATCGACAGCAAAGACCATTGAAACCAAGACCGGACGTCAGCCACCATGGTGATGACTTGAGGGCAGGAGGGGTCAGCAACAAACTGGTGGAGGGCACAGGGAGCCATGCACTCTGGGGAAGCTGAACCTCGGTGTTCACCAGGTGGCCATGTGGCATCAAGACTCAGTTACAAATACAGTTACAGAGATTTTTCCAAATTAAGTGTCACCTGAGTGACATATAGTTAAATCAGCAGAAAAGATGCTGAGCCCGTCAGTGCGGGCCAGAGAGCCCTGGGCACTGGGGCGAACAGCGCTCCAGTGTGCTGAGCACTCACGGCCACCAAACGAGAACTGTGAGGGCGGGGCCTCGCCGAAAACCCACAGCTGTCGAATGTGTCTAAAGCAAAGCAGGAGGATAAACACAGCGCATGTCATCTCCAGAAGGAAGGGACTGAGAAGGCTGGGCCGTGCTGGCCGTGGCAAGCGCCACTTAGCACAGGTGCCCGGAGGAGAGTTGGAAGGGCTAGTGTCCTGTGTGGGGGTGGGGTGAGGGAGGGCACAGCAGACCATTTGGATGACCCTCACAGGGTATAAAGCTTCCACACGCTTCCTCATCTGTGACCCCGAGGCCCAGGAGGCAGTGGGAGAGGATCCCGTGGCTGCCCGATCCGTGGGGACGAAGCTGTGACAGCCACAGTGTGCCCGTCTGGTGCTGACCATCTTGCAGAAGAGAGAGCGCGCCACTCCTCAAGGTGACAATAGATGAAACGAGATCCAGTGACGATAGTACTATAGCTTTTCTTATCCTTCCAGGTTCTCCAAAAAGCCCTTAGGTGGTGGTGTTCCTCTGGGAAAAATATAGTATTGGCTGTCCTCTTGCCCGTCTTTCCTTCCCGCCTGCAGGGTCACTGCCACTCCAGACACGAGAACAAAGCCAGGTGAGCACTGGCTGGTCTCCAAGGTCTCCTCCTCCGGCTCCTCTGATTCCACATGTTCACGTCCTCGTTATCTGATCCTCCAGTGCCAGACCCATGGCTGGCGCCAATGTGAACAATCGAACTGGGATTTTAAGAATTTAGCGCCAAAGGCAGAGAAACAAATGAGGTGAAAGCATTGTGCCATGAATGATCTGTGGGAAGGTCACCTCCAAACCAAGCTGGGAAGGGCTGTCGTCCCCCAGACACCGAGCCAGTAGCCACCATTGCCGTGCATGACAGCAGCATGGCCAGGGGTCCGTTCCTAGCAAAAGCCCTGATCCATGGACAGGGAGGGTGGGTGGGGATCAGTGTAGACTCACAGGGCAAGCAGAGGGCCCAGAAAGACAGGATGGGGCAGAAAGGTTGTAATGAGCAGGGAAGCAGGCATTGTGTCCCCACTGGCTTGCCAGGCCCAAAGCTCACCTGCCCATCTATTTCCAGTGAGTGGAGCTGAGCCACCCCCTCCCGGGCTGAGCACAGATTCATCCCCAAGGCCCCTTTCATATCACTAGTCTATTAGCCCATGAATTTAAAGAAGTCTCACTGGAACCCATTAGAGACCTCATCACTTTTTCCCCTCCTCAGCCAATTTCTAATTTAGACCTGCCTGGAATCTCTGGTTTGTCAGCATCTCTGGTTATTTGAACTTAAGACTGGTTTCCAATTTTGCAGAATTTGCTTCTCTGCCTTGACTGTCAGTTAGCTAGAGTGGCACTTTCCTGGCTCACACGGGGTTTCTTTTGGGGGGTGGGGAGGAGTGCACTTTGCTCAGATTAATCTCCGGAAAGCCATGTTGCATTTGTGCTTTTAAGAGAAGGCTGGGCCGTGCTCTCACATCGCCAGCATCCACACATGTCCAGTGTGTGAGTTGAAGGCTGGTGGCTGCCTTCCCCACCCGACCTGCACAGACCACACACACACACACACACACACTCTCTCTCTCTCATACTCTCATGGGGGCCCTTACAAAGTGGTTGGCACTGGGATGGCTGCCATCCAAGACAGCTCGACAGATCAGGTTAGAATGTTAAACGTAAAGGACAACGGGGCCACACTGGGTGAGGCGAGCTTCGGAGGCACCCTCTCCATTCAACAGAAGTCCAGGGCTTGGGGTCCTGAAGAGCAATTGATCACTTCCAGGCTGTGTCACACTGGATAACTTAATCCGGTTTCCTTACCTCAGATAGATCTTGTAAATTCACATAACCTTCTGCATGCAAAACACTCGATACACAGCAGCATTTGGCCAGTGCGATTCCCTCAGTTCCCTTCTCTCAAGTGTCCCCAGTGCCCTGCCCAGAAGTCTGCACACAAGAGCTTGCAGGGCACCTGCCTGCTAGATAATTCAACAGGATCCTCACTTCTGAAAAGCTCCGTGTGATGATTTATTATACTTGGGGGCATTTGCAATTAAAAAGACTCTTACTACTTTGAAAGAACAGCAACATCAAGAAAGCCCACAGCCTGATAGAAAATGCAGTCTTGCCCTGGCTGGTTTGGCTCAGCGCTTGGAGCGTCGGCCTGTGGTCCAGAGAGACCCGGGTTCGGTTCCCGTTAAGGGCATGTACCTCGGTTGCAATTTGTCTCCAGCCCTGGTTGGGTCTTGCGGGTGGCAGCCACTCGATGTGTCCCTTTCACATCAATGTCTCTCTCTCTCTCTCCCTCCCTCCCACTCTATCTGAGCAAAAAACGAAAAAAGAAAAAAAAGTCCTTGGGTGAGGATTAAAAAAAAAAAAAGAAAATGCAGTCTTGACGCTCGCTATGCCAGACTCTGTCCTAAGCGCTTTGTAATTATTGACTCATTGAATCCTCAAAACTATTTGCCCAAAGTAGTTATTATCCCCACTTTACAGATGAGGAAGCCGAGGCAGAGCAGTTGCATGACCTGCTGCAGCATAACATAGTAGGAAGGGAAGTCAAGGAGTCTGGCTCCAAACTCGTAATCACCGCTCCATCTTGCAGATAGTTACTTGCTATTTTTTGTTTCGTGTTTTCAGATATATGGACCACTTCAAGCAGAATTCCCATGAAATTATTCTGTATCAGAGAACCAATCTATTCTGGACTTCGGCTAGAAAAAGTGAATGTGTCTGACACATGAACCCCAGTGAAGCTTTAACATTCTGCATCAAGAAGCGTTCATTCATGCGTTAGTTTTACTACAAAGACTAAACTGTATAGACCTCCTTGCCCTAAAATCTAAGGCACACTCAAGGGTCACCACACCTCTTGCAGCCATCTGTCCTGCCACCCTCACAGGTGCATGACTCTTAGAAACTATCTTATTCAGTCTAGGACATCTACACTGCAGTAGATTGTATGTATCTCAATACACATTCCTTAAATGTTTCCACATATTCCACGTTGCCAGCTTAATATTACATGGTGGTTAAGAGCATGCATGAGACTGATCTGGATTGAAATCCTGGTGCCACCACACAGGCTAGGCTGTGACTGTGGTCAAACTGCGGAACTTCTTTAGGCCTCAGGTGCTTAGTCTAGAAAACAGTCTTCATTCACGCCTTCTGTGAGGACTGACACTTAGCACGCACAGCACCATGTCCCCATCACGTCCGCTTTGTCTATTCTCACTGCGGCTGTAAGTAGGGCCCGGTGGTTGTCAGCAACACACACACATATACCACACACAGTTTTCTTTCTGAAAGTCTCTGTGACATAGAAAAATGAGCATCAACTTATGTATCATTTAAACCTGAACCCCAGGTGTGAATGTCTGTTTCCCCAAGTGAGCATGATGGTCCCCTCACCCCTTCCTGCTCCAGCTGCCATTAGGATGAACTACACAGGAGAACCCAGCACTGGCCCACAAAAGGCACTGACGAGCATTCTTATCATCAGTCCCAGGCACTGGAGGCGTTTCAAGTGAAAGGACCCTCAGGCGGGATCCTTGACAACCTGCCTTAAAGAAAAGCAAGGCCGAAGGAGCCAAGGGCCAGGCAGAGCGGGGGCGGGCCGCCAGGAGCACAGGGGAAGGGAGTCGGGCCTGTCCTGTCGGCCGGCAGCCTGCATTGACTGCTGTGTTCTAGGAGGCAGGAGAAAAGGGCAAATGGGAGCCATGAGTGAGGTGGGGCTGAACATACTGTTTGTTGCCAAGGAAACACCGGGAACAATTTGTAAGGTAAGGGTATTGATTTCGGGACCGCTTTGGGGACTAAGCCTGTTCTCTCCTTGAGCTTCCTACAGCCGCAGCTGTGCTGAGACTGTCACACTCCGGCATCGCCAATGCAGAGGACAACGCTTGCACACACATCAACAAGCTCACTGTCAACAAGCAGAAGGGTGCAAAGCACGTGGCTTCCAACCACGCAGTGCTCCACACCGTGATTTCAGCTGCTGAAGCAAGCCACCTAGAAAGTTTGGCCACTCAGGGACAGAGGTCACGAGAGTGGCAGCCACATACACTGCTTCTTCTTGAAAAGCTCAAGTGCTCACACAGGAGCTGCCCCAGGCCAGGCCTCCACGTTGGTCCCGGAACACTGCTGAGGATGGTGGCCTCCTCTTTCTAATCAACACTGCAGCAGTTAAACTCTCAGCCGACACAGCCTTTGTACACAGCTCATGTGTAACTCCTGGAGTTGGAGGGCTTTCTTACATTAACTTTTAGCTAAGATTATTACCAAAGCCAGTTTAAACCAAAAGTTAGGTTTGATTTTACCACAGCATTTTTAGGTAGCAAGACTCCATTTCCTTAGAGATAATAAAGCAGAAAAATACAAAAAAGGCTTGACTATAGACAAAGAATACAGCCCTGAAGAGTGACGGCTAATTTGTGATAAGGCTAAGTGTTCCATTTGGTCTGAGAGGAGGCTGCTTTTGAAGTAATCTGTTTGTACTTTAACACGTACTCCATGATAATGCTCTTAAAGTGAACAAAATGTCTGTTAAAATGACAAGTGAGTACAGACAGACAGACACGCACACACACCTCCGAGTGGTCCTTGGGTTGCTCAGTACACGTTCTGGAAGAAAGGCCAAGCCTTTCTGGGGGCAGCTAACTTCCGCAGCAGCACTTCTGCGACACGGGGTTGAGGCTCCCAGGACTAACGGGGTCTGTGTGCAGCCTGACAATCCAGGCCTCTAATGAGATTCCAGACATGGCCCGACAGAGACGGAGCCAAGCATCTCTCCAACCAGATTCCACTGTGAAAAAGATAATCAAAGGAGAGCACATTCACTTCACGTAAGTTATAAAATACAAAGTTGGGCAAAGGTTCTCCGTGTCTCCAGGCATTTGTTTCAAATAGATTTTCAAGCTTTGACATACTTGTTCTTAGCTTAGGATAAGAATTCTTACTTATAAGAACAAAATCCTCTATTAGCCACACAAGAAAACCCTGAAATGAAGGCCTTTGAAAGCTGGTACGAGTTGAGGATCCAGGGCACAAACATCGTATGCAAATGTGTATAACACAAGTGGGGGCTTTGTTCACTTCGGCACTTCACAGGTCCCCAGGGCGAGCATTGTCAGGGAAGGCATCTCGAAGTGTCCCTGAGGAGCTGGCATGCTGACTTAGAGCAATAGAAGCTCGTCTCCCTTCAAGCCTTGACTTCTGGGACGCTCAAGCACCAAATTTTATAGCTGATAACAGCGACTGTTCACCCTTCCCTCCATTTTTATCCATCTTGATGATCTCCTTTTCTGTTCCCATTTTGTTACCATTATTTTATGTCTCTTCTTGGTATGCTGCTTCCAATTCTTTTAGAAAAGAGGCCAGGTATAAATAAATACACTTCAAATATAGACCCCTCCCGCCCCCCAAAAAACCCACAAGCAAATATTGCCATTATTTTTAGGGTATAAGAGAAAGCACCTTTCCATCAACAAATCATCAAACAAGAAGTGTTGGTGAGGGTGCTGAGAAAACGGGACTCTACTACACTGCTGGTGGGAATGCAGACTGGTGCAGCCACTGTGGAAAACACTATGGTGTTACCTCAAAAAGTTAAAAATTGAACTGCCATTTGATGCAGTGATCCCGCTTCTAGGAATATACCCTAAGAAACTTGAAACACCAATCAGAAATAATATGTGTACCCCCATGTTCATAGCAGCACTATTTACAATAGCTAAGATCTGGAAACAGCCCAAATGTCCATCAGTAGATGAGTGGATAAAAAAGCCATGGTACATACATATACACAATGGAGTACTATGCAGCTGTAAGAAAGAAAGATCTCTTATCCTTTAAGATGGCATGGAAGGACCTGGAGAATATTATGCTAAGCGAAACAAGCCAAGCAGAGAAAGACAAAAATCACATGATCTCACTTATTTGTGGAATATAATGAACTAAAACAAACTGCTGAAAAAAACTGACCCAGAGACATAGAGGTGGGGTACAGGCTGACAAGCCTCAGAGGAGGGGTGTTTGAGGGGAAAAGAGATAAACCACAGAACTTATATGCATGTACTCATGACCAATGGACATGGACAACTAAGCCGGGGATGGGGCGGGGGGAACGGGGAGGACAGTGTTAATGGGGGGAAAAGGGGAAACATCTGTAACAAAAACAAATAAAAAAATAAAATAAAATGCATTATATTTGTTACGTAAATTTTCCTTCCAACTGTTATTCCTGGTGTTTTAAAATGTAGAAGATAAAGTACCTTTTATTAATTCCTAAAAAAAAAAGGGAGAGAAAGCACCTTTGTGCTTACAGCACACCTTAATCAAAAAACAGTATTTCAGAATTATGTTAAGATAAATACATACCTAGATTTCACAACAGCAGTCCTGTGCTCATTAAGAAGTCCCTAATGCCTTGATTTCACCAGGAACAGATGTATTCCCTGAATATAATTTTAGTCATCATCATTAGTTTCCATTAGAGCCCTTGGCTAAGACTAGAAGTGTGTGTGTGGGGGGGGGGGGGGGCGGTTCTGTGACCCTAAGTTGGAATCATGAACATCTCATCTTTTAGTTCCCTCCTTCAGAAAAGAAGGATAACTACTGCTTCCTCTGCACCACAGAACTCATTATGAGGAGGTAAGTACAGACCTGCTCTTAGAAGTGGAAGTGCAGCCCTGGCCGGTTTGCAGCAGTTGGAGTGTCGGCCTGCGGTCCGGAGAGACCCGGGTTCAGTTCCCGCTAAGGGCATGTACCTCGGTTGCAGTTTGTCCCCAGCCCTGGTTGGTCGTGCGGGTGGCAGCCACTCGATGTGTCCCTTTCACGTCGATGTTTCTCTCTCTCTCTCTGTTCCTCTCTCTCCCTCCCACTCTATCTGAACAAAAGGAAATATCCTTGGGTGAGGATTAAAAAAAAAAAGTGAAAGTGCAGTATAAATGCAAGATACTACTCTCATACACATTAGAGCCTGAGTGATTCTTTCTCGAGCGCATAAGGACATCTTTTCACCCATGGCAGAACCTCTCTGCAAATTCATAGTTTCTTTGGTAACAACATGACAGAGGCAGGGAAGTTACACATAAATTCAGAGATGCAGGCACCAAATAACGAAAGAAAGCATTTCTATACATAAAACATTATTTATACTGGTTTTCATTTTTTTACATTAAGATGTAAATATCCCTTTATCCAAAATAGCTGGTGAAAAAAAACAAAACAAAAACAAAAAACAAGCCTTGAAAGATAGCTGGTGAGTTTTCAAGTGTCCTTGCTGAATGAATACAAATATCAAACATTGTAACTCAGTAATTCAATGACAAGGAGAACCAACTGAACCAAACTGAGCTATAAAATAAGAATATATAGCAAAATCACAACCAAAATGATCCAACTTCCTGACTAATTGACTATTTAAAAGTATTCTTGTTTTAACCATTAGTTTAGAAAAATCTTTCTAAATTGAACCACTTCACTTTCCTGGCTCAGTCAGTACAAAATGCCAAACACAAATCAATTTTATTTTGATGATTTAGAATCACGTGGTACTTGAGGTATCTTTCAAAATATCAATAATTTTTGTTAGAGGAAGAAAATTAGAGTGAATTGGAGTTTCTTGTTTTAAAGAAATCCCTGCTGTCATTAGCTTATTATCTTCCTTTTGCCTCATTCTCCTAAAGAGTATGGCAAACAGGTTCTAGTTAAGCAATTGCAGATAAACCTATATATCTGTAATGACTCAGGCAAATAAGGCAGGTCAATGCCTTTATCCCCTGGACTATTCTACTTAATAAATATGCCCAATAATACAAATTACATGTAATAGGTCCACTGTTTTTCTGGCTATCAAATTTTAGTACCATATGAATTCCTTGATCAAAATCTTTTCCTAAAAAATAAACAAAAAAAAAAGAAAGAAAGAAAATCACTGAAGATGATTTCCAAAACCAGGGAAGTTGTAGATTTTGCTAATGGAATCAAACTGTGCTCACTTTAATAATTTTTATAGTTATCAAGGCAAGTAAGTTCTCTAAGATACGAGGTGCTTAACTCCTCAGAGCCATAAAAGAGTGAGCTGCTAGGAGAAAAGTCCCTTCTGGTCTTTTAGTACCGCTCAGTCTTTCCCTGGGGCGGGACCCTCCCCCTGGGGCACATGAGATCATTTCAGGAGGTACGTAATACTGAACTAAATAATACTGCATCACAGTGAGAATGTCATTCCCTTTACAATTTTCTTTTATACTCCTGAGAACTGCAGAGAGTGAGCCCCACTGGTTAACATCTCTCACTGCAACAAAGAAACAGCACACCTCCTGGATTCAGAGGTTGGCAGGCATTAGCATCTAGCCAGAATTTAGTTAATATTTTTTGTTTTAATTTTATTTATTTTGTAGTTACCTTTTATTCATGAAAACTGATCCCGGTTTTCCACTTGGAGCAGCAATTGGTTTCTTTTTAAATTACTTTAAAATTTAAAAATATATTAAGTAAATAATAGTATATGTAATACTCAAGTGATTGAAGTTGGAAAAACAATGGCTATAGTGTAACAAATCATATTTTTAAAAAGTGATTTCAAAAGAAACTACCACCACAGTCTAGAAAGGAAACCTATGTCAAGGTACTTTCAATACTTATGATGTTTCAGAGATGAGTTTGCTGCTGCAAGTGATTTCCAGAGTTAAAATTCAAGCAAAAATATAAAAGAAAAAAGAACCAACTCTACACCATCCTGGACTTCATAAACTCATGGTACCATAAATGTGCAAATTATCTTGCATTTAGTAAGTCATTTGTTTGAAACAAATTTTTCAATTTTCTGTGGCATCTTTTTATTTGGTCTATACTAATGCCTCATAAAGGCAAACCCGGGTGTAGAGTTCCTGCGTGGCCCTCAGAAGACCCATACAGACTTTGACTGAACTCTTCAGCAGGGATTCAGGACTGCTGGCCAGGTGTTCCAATGATGTCTGACTGCTCTTCCGCTGGTATGGTTCTGCAGAGAGGTCTCCTCCTCCTCCTCCGAGTAATACTCTCATAGCCAACATTCTTCTGAAAGGAGTTTGCCTAGCAGGTACTGCATGCTCACAAGCATGCCATGCTGACTTAAAACAAAAAGGACAGTTGGAGAGAAAGAAAGCAGAGCTTCTTGTTTGTGGTGAACAGTTTCTTCATCACAGTGGCAGTAAAGATGTGCTCCCGTCTTTCCCCCAGGAAGCCCAGGCAATAAGTCTGAAGGATGGTGTCAGACATCATAATCAGGAGCCTTACCCTGGGCTTGCCTTAGCCAGATCTGTAGTGTAACAAATGCTCCCACAGTCACGTGAAAGAAAAGCTGCCAGAGGTTGCGAAGTTCATAGAGATACATGTTGCACAGACAGATTAAGCCAAGAGTCAAAAAAGATTTGACATTCCGCCAGCCAGTGTAGTAGACAAGTAAATAACACTGTTCAAAATATAAAATGAAAGATGATTAGGGTTACAGGAAAAGAAACAGGTGCTTCTACAACAAAACTGTAACAGGCCACAGAGTAAAATGAAAGTGGAATAAGGGGATTTTTCATCTACAGATAAAATAATGTAGCATCAAGGCATTTGGCTATGAAAGGGAATTAGATTTTTTTCCTTTTATGCTTTTCATTTTTCAAAAGAAAAAGATTTTGTATCATATTTAAAATGGAGGAATAATTGGATGACTGCCTTGCAAACAGGCTGGACAAAATCCTTAAGGTGACAGGCAACTAAGAAGCATTCGCAGGACCTTAGGGGGATCCATCTTTCATTTTTACCCCAGTAATATACAAAAAGCTCAAATAAGCCATTTAGCAAAATCAACTCTCATATAACCTGAATCTGAATATTACTGAAATCAACAGTATTTACTGACCCCCTACATTCAGTGCACAGAATTAAGCTAGGAGGATATGAGTGAACATTTAAGGGAGAAATCATTCAAGGGATATTTACTGAGGGCCTGCAATAAGTCAGGCATTGTTCTTTAGCTTTAAGTAAACAAACAAAGCCCTTGCTCACATTCTAGAAAACAGAAAAAGATGACAAACATTATACATATACAATATCAAATAGTTATGTCTTGAAAAAGATAAAATTAAAAGAGGAGACAGAGGCAATGAGTGTCATTTTAGAAGATACATTAATAAAAGTACTCCCCTACTCTACCTCAAATCCTGGCATTCATCTTCTCCTGCTTTATTTTTCCTCCATACTATTAAAATTCTTTAAAAATATGATTACTTTGTCATCTATATTCTCCAAATACAATCTAAGCTTCATGAAAGGAGAGAATTTTGACTGTCCTGTTCACTCATTTATTGACAGTGCCTAGAAGAGCACATAGCACATAACTGCTCATTAAAAATTTGTTGAATGGCCCTGGCTGGTTTGTCTCAGTGGTTAGAGCGTTGGCCAACAGACCAAAGAGTTGCAGGTTTGATTCTGGTCAAGGGCATGTACCTTGGTTGTGGTTCGGTCCCTGGCCCTGGTCGTGGCCCAGCGGGAGGCAGCCAATTAATGTGTCTCTCTCGCATCGATGTTTCTCTCCCTCCCTCTCTCTCTCTTTCTCCTTCCCTCCCTGCACCCCTCCCTTCCATTCTATCTGAAGATAAATGTAGGAATGTTCTTGGATGAGAATTTTTAAAAATTTGTTGAATGAATGAACTGTTTTCTAGAAGATATCTAAAATTCACAATATAGTAAATATAGAAATTATATGTGATCACAAAGTCTGAAGAAAGAAGCAGAGGTCTCTTTGTGAAGTTATATCCAGGCTTCAGTACAAGAAGGATATTAGAGTGTTTAAGACAATGCAGAAAGAATGTGGAAATGTTTGTTCAATGCGTTTAATAGTATGAAATTAGGACTCTGCTTACTCAAAACAAAGACTGCTATCCAAAAAAAAAACAAGAATTGAAAGCACTTACTGAATGATTTGTATTGTATAAAAATACAGTGATACCTCGGTTCTCGAACATAATTCGTTCCAGGAGGATGGTCGAGAACCGAATTGTTCGAGAACCGAAGCAATGAAACCCAATAGGAAAGCGTGACTCCACAAAGCATGACTCTCTCTCTGCACTCACACTGATGACGCAAGCAAGGCGCGCTGGGCCGAATGAACGCCATTCGGCTCAACTCGGCTCATCTCGGAAGTTCGAGTTCCAAATATTTGTTCGGATTCCGAGACAAAAGTTTCTCGAATCCCGATTTGGTCGAAAACCGAGGCGTTCGAGAACCGAGGTATCACTGTAGTTAGAAAAAAAACTGTTTTTTTTTATCTTCACCCGAGGACATTTTTGCATTTATCTTGAGACAGAGTGGGAGGGAGAGAGGGAGGGAGAGAGAGAAAAATCCATGTGAGAGACACATCGATTGGCTGCCACCCACACAACCCCAACCAGGGCCAGGGACAAACCGCAACCAAGGTACCTGCCCTTAGCGAGAACCGAACCCGGGCCTCTCTGGTCTGCAGGCCAACGCTCCAACCACTGAGCCAAACTGGCCAGGGCTAAAAAACTTTTTCTTTTGAAATAATTTTAGATTTAGAGAAAAGTTGCAGAAATAGTAGAGTTCCTGTATACCTTTCACCCTGTTCCCCTAACGTTATCCTCTTACATAACCATAGTGTAATAATCAAACCAGGATATGAACATTGATACAATACTATTAACTAATCTACAGACTTTATTCAAATTTTGCCAGTTGTCCCCCTAAGGCCATTTTCCTGGTCCAGAATCCATTCCAGATTCCATATTGCATTTAGTTGTCATGTCTCCTCAAATCTGCAATAGCTCCTTAAGTCTTTGCTTTTCATGACCTTGCACACTTGAACAGTGTCAACCAGTTGTTTTGCTCCATTTCGATTTGTATATTTTCTGAAGATTGAAGTGATATGCAGTTTTGGCAAGAATATCACCATGGTGATATGCAATATGTCTTATTATTGGTAATGTTAACTTTGATCTTTAGGTAGGTACTGTCTGACAGGTTTCTTCACTGTTAAGTTACTATTTTTCTCTTTGTTATTAGTATCTTGTGGGAGGGGAAATAAAGACATTCTCAGGTGAAAGAAGACTAACAGAATTTGTCTATAGATGTACCCTAAAAGAATGGCTAAAGGAAGTTCTCTAAACAGAAAGAAAACAATAAAAGAAGAAAGCTCAGCCTGGCCAGTGTGGCTCAGTGGACTGAGCATCATCCCATGCACCAAGAGGTCACCAGTTCAGTTCCGGGTCAGGGTACATGCCCGGGTTGTGGGCTCAATCCCCAGTAGGGGGTGTGCAGGAGGCAGCCAATCGATATTTCTTCTTCATTGATGTTTCTATCTCTTGCTCCCTTCTCCCCTCCTTTCTCGCTTAAAAAAAAAAAAGAAAGAAAAAGAAAAATCAATAAAATTTTTTTTTTTTAAAGAAAACTTAGAACACTGGGAAAGCAAAAAACAAAAACAAATTAAAAAAAAACACAGTAAGCAAAAATATAGATAAATATAATAGATTTTCCTTCTCTTGAGTTTTTTAAATTATGTTTGATGGCTGGAGTAAAAATTATAACACTGTCTGGTGTGGTTCTAAATATATGTAGAGGAAATATTTAAGACAATTATATTATAAACAGAGGAGGGCAAAGGGATATAAAAGGAGGCACAGTTTCTATGCTTCACTTGAACAGGTAAAATGACAAACCAGAAAACTGTGCATAATGCAGTACCTGAGCAACCATTTTAAAAGTTATACAAAGAAGTACACTCAAAAACACTATAGATGAATCAAAATAGAGTTCTATAAAAAAATGTTCAAGTAACCCTCAGGTAGATGGGAAAATAAAATATAAAAATTAAAAACAGAAAACAAAATAGAAGATGGCAGATTTAAGCCCTAACATCAATAATTGCCTTAAATGTAATGGCCTAAACACAGCAAATAAAAGATAGAGATTGACAGAATGTGGATTAAAAAACATAAATCAACTCTATGCTGTTTAGCAGAAACTCACTTGAAATGATATAGGCAAGTTGAAAGTAAAAGAATGGAAAAGGATATACCATGCAAACATTCATGGTGTATGTTTATCAGGTAAATATAAAAATATTTCTAAGAAAAGAAAATAACCAAGGACATGGAGGGATACTATATAATGATAAAAGGATCAATCCACCAAGAAGACACAGCAATCCTTAATGTGCACGAACTAAACAACAGTGGTGCAAAATACATGAAACAAGAACTGATAGAACTGAAATGAGAACTACACAAATCCATAATTATTGTTGAAAACCTCAATACTCCTCTCTCAACAACTGGACAGAAAATCAGCAAGGATACAGAAACAAACATCATCAACCAACAGGATCTAATCGACATTTACAGAACACTCACTCAACTACAGCAGAACACATGTTCTGTTCAAGTGCCCATGGAACATATACCAAAATAGACCATATTCTAGGCCATAGACCAAACCTTAACAAATTTAAAAGAACTGAAATCAAACAGTATGTTTTTCCAGCCACAATAAAATCAAACTAAAAATCAATAATGGGAAAAAAAGAAAAATCTCTAAACATTTGGAAACCAAACAACATAATTCTAAATAATCCATAGGTCAAGGAAAAGGCCACAAGGAAAGTCAAGAAATAAAATAAATTGAATTGCCCTTGCCATGTAGCTCAGTTGGTTGGAGTGTTGTCCTGTACACCAAAAGATTGTGGGTATGATTTCCAGTCAGGGCATATACTTAGGTTGTAGGTTTGATCCCCAGTAGGGGCACATATGGGAAGCAAATGATCGATGTTTCTCTCACGTATCAATGTTTTTCTCTCCCTTCCCCTCTCTCTAAAAATCAATAAAAACATATCCTCAGGTGAGAAGTTTTTTTAAAAAAGGAAAACTTTACATTAAAAAAATAATAAATTGAATTAAATAAAAATAAAATACAACATATCAAAATTTACAGGGCACAGACAATGAAATGCTAAGAAGTAAGTTTAAAACACTAAATGTATATAGAATAGAGAAAATTCTCCAATCATTTAAGCTCCCATCTCAAGACCTAGAAAAAGAAGAGCCAAATAAACTCAAAGAAAGTGTAAGATAGGAAATAATAAAGATTAGAACAGAAATCAATAAAATTGAAAATAGGAAAACAATAAAACACAGAATAAATTCTTTGAAAAGATCAATAAAATAGATGATCAGTATGAGGAGTGAAACAGATTATCATTACAGACATCAAAAGGACAGTAAGGGAACACTACAACCAACTCTACATACAAATTGGATAACAGATCAAATGGACCACTACTTCATAAAACACATACTACCACAATTCATCCATTATGAAACACACAGTTTGAGTAGACCTATAACTATTAAGAAAATGGAATTTAATACACGGTATATAGCTGCAGTAATCAAACAATGTAGTACTACT